AGATGTAGCACCTAGTGAGATATGTGTGCGCTTACACATTTGTCTGCAATATGGTGTGGAGATAGTTTGTTTTATATTTTTGCAGTGAAGCAGGCTATATATATCTATATATATCGCAGACACACCCCTCTGTAAGCAGCCCCAAGTTTTGTCTCCTCTACCTGCACAGTCAGTCTAGCGGCACTTCGAAGACGATGACACCCAAGTTCACTCTGACTCCTGACCCCGATGACGGGTCACGAGTTTTTGTCCCCTTTCACAGCCACTGGTACAGTCTGAACTGTCTAGATATGATATTGCCTCTATTTCTCCTGAAGAGAGGGGGAGAAAGGATCCGACCCATCTAAAAAGCAGAAGTATTGTTTAATAAGCCATCGGATAAGATTAATGGCTCGGAAGGTCTCCCCCTGACCCGCCTTGCTCTCCCAAATGCAGCCACGGCAGTCCATGGGAGTTTCAAAGGGTGTTTCGGGTTACATGGAAACAACGGAGTGGGAGTTCCAAAGGCCATAAATAACCCAGGCAGCTCTTTCCATCCCATTCGGGAGTTCTCCCTGGCTCCTGAGCTGCTGTCCGTTATCTTTGCAAATGGCACCGGAGGCACCGGAAGGGGCCAGTCAGTGGTGGTGATTTATAAGTCGGGAGCTTATCTTCCAAAGCTTCGCTTAACTGTGATCACATGAAGATAAAGCCTCCACCATCAACAGCTTCATCTGCAGAAGGATCCAATGTATTGCCGGTTATATTTCTACCAAAGAAAAGTGCTCGTTCTACCTAGAGGTTTCCCTGGCCACCAGGACAGGTGATATCGTGGCCAAATCGTCATCTGAGGATCCTCCATTTTACACAGTTTATTTTACGGGAATGGAAGGGTATGAGAAGTGTGTCTGTGTGGATGGGTGTATATTCACTTGGAAAGGGGGAAGGGCTCACCCCAATATCCCTCCTGTTTCAAGTCCAAATCCTCCCTGACTTTATCTTAATTAATAGTCTTGCTTGTGTGCCCCACAGCCAAATTTCAGCATCTGGGCTGTGAAGTAGCAGTGTCTAGGCACAGGGGATTTTGCCACAGGCTGGGCTGGATGGCCGCTGTCTGTTTGGGAGAGACAAAACTTCAGTGTGACTGATCTAGATTGCACTCAAGTTGACTTAGAAATAAATAAGTATTAGTGGTTCAATGCCCTGACTTGGATAGCCCAGGATAGGCCAAGCATCTCATGTCTCGGAAGCTTGGCCCATCCTGTTGTCCCTGGCTAGTCCTTGGATGGGAGACCTCCAAAGAATACCAGGGTCACGATGCAGAGGTAGGCAATGGCAAACCACCTCTGAATGTCTCTTGCCTTGAAAAACCTGCAGGGTCAACGTAAGTCGGCTGTGACTTGACAGCAAAAAAAAAAAAAAAGGAAAAAAAGGAAAAAGGAAAGAAAAAGAAAAAAAGAAGAAGTGGTTGAATGTGGATAACAACGGAGCAGTGGGGAACCTGAAGACTAACACCTGACATAAGTTGCAACACAGCTGAAGGCAGAAAGCACAAAGCAAGATGCACTCCACGTATCACAATACGAAATAGCCCTGCCCCTCCATCAAGGGACCGATAGGAAAAGGAAGCCTTGCCTGAACTGTATCTGAGTAGCATCTGCCTGGAGTCACTCGCAATCTGCCGCCCTTTCCCATCCTTCCTGCAGCAGTTTACCTACATCAGGTATAAAAGGAGAAGTAAGTTGCTTATCACGCAAACTTGACTCAGGCTGCAGAATGCTCACTAAAGTATGGCTTTATCTTAGTTATCAGAGTGGCTAGTGCCCTGGACTAGAATCTGGGAAACCTGAGTTCGAATACCCACTCTGACATGAAGCTTGCTGAACCAACTTCTACCAAACAGAGCAGAACCAGTTTGGTGTAGTGGTTAGGAGCACGGACTCTAATCTGGGAGAACCGGGTTTGATTCCCCACTCCTCCACATGCAGCTGCTGGGTGACCTTGGGTCAGTCACAAGTTCTCTCAGAGCTGGTCTCTCAAGGGCAGTTCTCGGGAGAGCTCTCTCAGCCTCACCTACCTCACGGGGTGTCTGTTGTGGGGAGGGGAAGGGAAAGGCACTTGTAAGCCACTCTGAGACTCCAAGTGAAGGGCAAGGTATAAATCCAATCTCTTCTTTTACTTCTCAAGGTTGTCACGATGATGAACTACTGAAGGGAGAACCATGCACCCCACCTTGAGGTTCTGGGAGGAAGGAGGGGATAAAAATCCACCCACTGGCCAGTGTGGCCAGCTTCCCATTTAAATATGGAAAGAATGAGATTTTCAGGACATTTATACAGATATACTTCCCAAGGGCAACGTCAACGTAAATGGACAATTTCTTGCAATTTTCTCTTTTAATGTATACTGCATGACGGAATAGAACCACGGCCACTTGAAACAGACATTGTGTTATTTGGCTGTATGTCTACATCACTAGATGAGGATACGGTTAGAAGAACAAGCAATCATGGAAGAATTGCAGGGAAAAGTCACTTCCCTGGAAAACCCCCCCCCCCCCCCCGTAGATGCTTTAGTGTTTCTTTTCATTAAAACATTTCAGCCTCAGTTCCAGCCAGAGACGGATACGGCAAGCAGGCCTGGGTTCAAAACCTGCCGACTGGGACCTGAGGTTGTCAAAGGCCAGTTTCTAATGCTCAGGCCCACGATTTTGAGCCCAGAGACTTCACCCTGGGCTGCTGACTTCTTCCACGGGCCCCAAGAGCTGGCACTCTGAAAGGCAGCGATGCAAATGTGTGCGCCTGACAGATTCACTGCTCCGAGGAGTCCCTGGAGGCCTCCCGGTATAATGAAGCCGTTTCAAAAGGGTAAATGATAAATGGCTGTGCCTGCTAGACGACCCCTTCCTGCGATATATAATAATTATGAGATGACCTGTGTAATGAATCCTGTTAATTTGCTGCATACCAAAAAGAAAACCAACAGATCCTCTAATAACGTTTTCTGGCCGGGCCCAAGGTCTCTCCCTGGAAAGGAAAAGGGGCTGAAGCAGAAATAGCCTTGAAAAGCATCCAAAGTCACAGCTGGAGGGATTCAGGACGTGCTGGAGCTGTTCAGAATTCCTCACTGAACTGGGTTCCAGAATCCTCATTAGATTGGGTGGCAAATTAAGGGGGAGGGGAGAAGTCAGCCAAGCATAAAGGGCCCTTATTCTTTTTAACACCCTATAAGTGCTTCTGTCACCCTCCGACCCCCCAACCCGAACTCTCTTCTCAACGTGTAGATTCCAGCAGCTGAGTAGATCTTGAACATCTCTGCTTTCCTCGCTTGCGGATACTTAAGGGATCAGAGCGTCCTCCGCATTCTACATCCCTTCTTATTTAATGTTTCTTCTTTTTAAAAAAGTTTCTTATCCACACTCTCTCTGCTATTATCAATGTTCCCTCTAAGCTGTGGAGTCTTGCGAGCAAAAATTCTACTTTGTGAGCTACTGGCATTAAAGTTGTGAGCAAGGGATTTGGCTGCTGCATAAATTAGTTTGCTCTAAAGCCATCCTTACTGAGCTGAGACAAAAATGTGTGAGCCAGAGGCTAAAAGACTGTGAGCTAGCTCACACTAACTCAGCTTAGAGGGAACACTGGCTATTATTATAGTATTTACAAACACAGTAGAAGCCTCTGCTCCCCCCCCCCCCAAAATCATCCCCGGCTGTTGCCCACCTGAATTCTTGCAACACAACAGGCCCCAATTTGGCACTTTAATGTTCAAGTGGCAGTTTGCAGAACTATGGCAGCAGTAGAACAGGATACTGAAATACTGTTTTTCTAACCTTGATCAACGATGAGTGGGTGGGAGGGACAATTCAAGGAGAGGGTGGGAGTCCAGGCTCAGACTCCCCCTCCCTATGCTGACAAGTGGTATTCCCCAGTCACTGCTCCACCCTGCCCTGGACGGCCTAGGCCAGCCCACTCTCGCCAGATCCTGAAAGCTAAGCAGGGCTGGCCTCGGCTAGTATTTGGATAGGAGACCTCCATGGAATACAAGGGTTGTTAAGCAGAGGCAGGCAACTGCAAAACACCTCCGGACATCTCTTGCCTCAAAAACCCTATGGGGTCGCCAGAAGTCAACTGTGACGTGTGACCGGGGGGGGGGCACTGCCCCCTCCCACAGAAGGCTCAGTTGGGGCCACATTTTCTCCCTCAAGGAACAGAGCCACACTTTATGATTCCTTAAGCTTACCATTGCTAACTGATATGCCAACAGGCACTTTGGACATTACCAACAGAGAACCAGCTCTCCTTACAAGGGCACAGAAACACACAGACACATCATTTGCCCCTCCAAACGGGATAAAATTCCCCACAGAAGAGGTAACATATTCATCGAGCCCTTTGGCATGTCATTTTAGGAGCTCTCACAGTGTAGCCGTGTAGGATATTTTTATGAACGGAGTTCCCGTCTCCCCCCCCCCCGTATGTCCATCTGTACTCTTTGTAATTAGAAAAGAAGAGATTCTTAACATGTGACCCAAAATTTTGGGATAGAAAACGAGGCCACTTAAAAAAAGATGCCTGAGAAGATAAAGAGGAAAAGGCGGGATTTCCCACACGATGACAAAAAACAAACTTTAGGTTGCGAGGTGAATGGAATGCATTTCCCAGCACGTCGAGGCCATCTTGTAAACTCATCAGGGGACCTCAGAGTTTATCCCAAATATTCTCTAGTCAGGGAACAGCCTGAGGAGGAAAGGCCTGCAGTGTCAGAGGCACTCATCATGGCACAAGGGAGATACCTTTTTCCGGAACGAGTTTCAAAATGGATACCTGCAAGACGGGCATCTCAGATGTGCCCGAACAGTCGTAAATAGCCCTGAGTGGTGTGCTCTGCAATTTCTCTTAGCCTTCATCTACCATCTTCTATGGTCAAATAATTTTTGTATATTATATATATATATATATTTAAAAAAATCATCTTTGATACATCATGATATCTAAAAGTCACTGTACCTCTTTTTCGGGCCCCCCCCAACAAGCTTGCCATGTGCTTAGGAACATATCCTGAGTATGTCGGCCAGAGTTAAGGGTTGTCTTCTTCCTTCGGCAGACAAGCTCAGCAGGAGCAGCTAATACAGCAAATGTCAGTCTTTTCGTACAATACCAACGAGAATTCGGCTTTCGGCTATACCGCCGCAGTCATGGGGTCCTTCTGCCTGGGATCTTGATGCCTGTATGGGTATTGATCAGGGCTGGCTCGACGGTGGCCCGTTCGGCCCATTTCGTTATAGGGCAGACCTCTGTGGCTCTGAGGGGGTGACGGTGGCACATCCTGGCGGAGGGGTCCTTTGTGATGGGCTACTGGTTGTGGTGGGTAATACTGGGGATACCATAACTCTGCTGCTCTGGGGCCCTCTTGAGGGTGACCATAGTTCCCTTTGGAAGGATGAATGACAGGCTGGCCTCCTTGATAGTATGGAAGATCTCTCTCTTTGTATGTGACTCGTAGCCCTCCCGTTAAGTACTCTACTGGTTCCACAGGTCCGTGCCTGGAAGGGGGAACAAAAAAAGAGAGAGGTATAAATAGAAGGTCCAGAATTCCTTTAATTAACAAAGGCCACCCTTGCTAGCAAACTGGTCTGCGTGAGCCAAGAAAGACTAGAAAGTTCTCCCAATGCCGGAATTGCTAAAGCACACAGGATGCCAGTGTTAAGATCCGGCATGCATTGGGGCTCCTTTACAAGGTGGTAACTCACAAAGAAAACAACTGGTGCTCCATCCGTAATAGTGGGAAAACAAAGACCTTTTCAGCAAAGTGCGCTTGAGTGTGTCTTATCTAGCCTGAGGATAAACAGATGAGTTCGGTTTGCATCCCCGCCAATTCCCACATGGCTCACACGCCAATATTCACACCTCAAAGCCGTTTCCCCAATTTTCTTGTCTCAAACATGTCAGCCCATAAAACTCTCCAAGTCCCACAGTTGGAAAGCTCAGAACTCCCAGAAGAAAACATGAAGGATATGAGCATAGAGTATCTGTGTTTTGTGGGCCAACTGCCAATAAGCCTTCCGGAGGGAATAAAAGCACATGTATGTGGATGCAAACACAAGTGTGAGCAGAGGAGGCTAAACCTCGGAGCCAGTCTGTGTAAATAAGGATTTGACAAGGTCTGGCGCACGAGAAAAGCAACATGTGTGAGTGTGTCACGCCAAAGGGCTGGATTATGGAGCCGTTGCTGTTGCTTTCTCTGCCTTAATGCTAGGATTTACGTCAATGAGGGATTCTCCCTAATAAGAAGAAAGCTGGGATAAGTGTTACATGGAATAAATTATGGTTGTAGGTCGCTGTCAACGCAGCAGCCCCAAAGTCGAGCATGATTAAGGGTTGTTCTCTTCTGACGGCAATATTTCTTCAGTTACAGAGGGCATACTAACTAGCTCTGAAGATCGCTGTTGACTATAGAAGTTTGGGAGATGTGAAAGATAGGACTTATGATTAAGAGTGTGTTTGCTGTGAGGTTTATTCAGACTGGCTCCAGTCCTAGAATGAAGCTTATGCGCTTTCCCTCTTAAAAAAAAGAGAAAAAGAAAGAACATTCTTCGCCCTGTTCTCCATAAATTCAGTCCCACTCGTGGAAAAAGGGGTGTGACCTTGTGAAGCAGCCGGATTTCTCTTCTGTTCAAAAATGATCTAGGTGTTCGGGTACAACAGCATGTATTCACCATGAGCGGTGAAGAGAGAAAAGAAATTGCAGATAGCCGTTTTCGTCTGTGCCCCCTGACACGGCTGGCCCAGGCTAGCCTGATCTCGTTAGAACTCAGAAGCTAAGCAGGGTCAGCCCTGCCAGTATTTGAATGGGAGACCTCCAAGGAAGTCCAGTGTTGTGACGGAGAGGCCAGCAATGGCAAACTATCTCAGGGTGCCTCTTGCCTTGAAGACCCTAAAAGGTAGGGTTGCCAGGTCTCTTCAAGATGCTGGCGGGGGGATGCTCCAGGAGCCGAAAGCATCGCCCCTGATGTGCCGACATCACCAGAAGTGATGTCGCGCTTCACCCGAAAGTGACATGGGCACATTGGGGGCAATGCACTGGTTTTTGGGCAGAGCTCTATGGTAAAACTGCCCTCAAACCATAGAGTTTTGCCCGAAAACCAGAGCGTCACTCCCCCAACATCACTTTTGAGTGATGTGTTGCTCTTGGGGGGTGGAATTTCTTCCTACCAGCCAGCTGGCTGGTGGTGGGCAGGAGCCCACAAAAGCAGGGGATCCCCTGCCCCAAATTTGGGAACGGTAACCCTACTCCAGGGTCACTGTAAGACAGCTGTGACTTGACAGCACTTTACACAGACGTGCTAGTCCATCAGGGGGGAAAACAAACAAACGGATAAGCAGAAGAAGTGGGTCTCCGGCACAGGTCTTCCACATCACCTACCGCCTGATTCTTTCAACTGGAGATGCTGGGGACCGAACCTGGGTCCTTCTGCATGCCTAGCAGATGCTCTACCACTGAGCCACAACCCTTCTCTGTAAAGAGCCACTTCAGACACTCGGATGAGCGGATCTACTCGCTTTCACATAGCGAGGGTGTTTACGTAAGTCACCCCCAACACATGATTGTTCAAAGGTGCGACTGAAATCAGATCTTGACCTTTTCCTCAGAGTAGTCTTCCCGGGGTGGGATGTGCGGGAGGGATCGGATCGCTGTGTGTGTTTTTGTTTTTTGTTTTACAAAATTGTTTCTATTGAATCACTGGAAGACAGCTTTCCTCTGCTCTGCCTTTAATGTGGTGCAGATCTCCCTACATCAGAGAAGGGAGAAGAAAATGCCAAACGAGAAAGAGGTTAAAACTTAAAGAGACCCACTGCAAGAGGAAGTGGGAACAGATGTGGATTGACAACAGACGAGGAAGGAACAGAACCACCCGGCCAAGGGAAAGGAGAGAGAGAGCAGAAACATCCAAGCAAGGCACTAGATCGGGGAGACCAACAGACTGCAGACACATGGGACACGATCCATGATGGAAAATGAATGTGAAAGCGACCACAATATCTCACTAAACAGAGAACAAGAGCGAGCTTTCAACTTTACCACAACCTCAGGCCAGCTGTTCAGTAACCCCTCCCCCCCAAAAAAAGAGTCTGTCATCTGCAAGTCTTAAGTCACTGTTGTGGACAGAATTAGATTTGGTTGGGCAAGGTGCAAAACAGATTTGGAGTTGAACAAGAAGGGTCACCAATAACTGGCTGTGGGACTTTCCCATCATGTCCTGTCTGTTTTGCTTCTCCCTCCTTTGTGTCTTGTAGAGCTTATACCTTCTTAACTGTGTTACAAGACTTTGAAAACACACCCACCCACCCCGGAAGTAGACCTCAAACAGCGACAAACTCTTAGTGACAAAACCCTGAGCCTGCTTGTAGGGAGAGCAGGATATAAATGCTAAAATAAATAAATAAATAAAAATTAGTTGCCTATCCTCTCTTTGCATAACGATGTATTACACATGAAGCATCTTTTAAAGTGGATTCAGGAGGCACCTGTTTGCCAGGGGTGCCAGCTCTGGGTTGGAAAATACCTGGAGACTTTGGGGGTGGGCCCGGGAGAGGGCGGGGTTTAGGGAGGGGAGGGGCCTCAGCAGGGTACAGTGCCGTAGAGACCACCCTCCAGGGCAGCCATTTTCTCCAAGGGGAGCTGATCTCTGTCATCTGGGGATCAGTTGTAGAAGCGGGAGATCTCCAGGCCCCACCTCTGTGCATTCTGGGCTTGGTGCTTTTCAGCATGCAATCAAGACCAAACCAAGCTTCTAGGGAAAAGGTCACGAGGACACCCCTCTCCTCACTGTGAGGTCTTCGCTGTGCAAAACTTTAGATCCCAAAACTTATCTAGGGTTGTCAGCTCTGGATTGAGAAATTTTGGGGGTGGAGACTGGGGAGGGGAGGGACCTCAGCAGGGTATAATGCCACAGAGTCCCCCCTCCAAAGCAGCCATTTCCTCCCGGGGAACTGACCTTGATTGCCTGGGGATCAACTGTAAGAGTGGGACCCTCGCCAGGTGCCACCTGGAAGTTGGCAACTGTAAGCTCATCCCATGCCTGCCCCGTCAGCTGGGTCCATGAGAGGGTAGTGCAAACTGTATATCTGGGTGGGGGGAGCTCAGAGTGCTGAATCACAGCCCCCCCAACCCCCCCCCCAGTGAGCAGTTCTCCCTCTCACGATCATCACTAACTACATTCTCAGGTGATAACCCACCTGCCTGAAAAGGTTCCTCAGAGATCACATGTCATCGCCTTGCTATTACTGCACATTGCCTCTTCCTGTCAGACGTTCCAGCAAAACTAGTCCACATCTTCAGCTGTCATCCAATGACAGGGCATCGAGTGATGGACAGGCATCAGACCCGCGTCCTTATTCCCAAGCATCACTGAGTGGCAGATGCATGCGAAGGGTGAGCTACGCCCATCCTAGCTACATGGAAAATGCAATTCAGGCAACCAGAAGCGCACATGTGCTGTGGGGCACGTATGACAATTTTATGGGCCGTGTAAAATGTTTCAACAGTACTGTTATGTGAATCAGCGGTTAACATGCCAGCGTTACTGCTTTTGCTCATTAAAAGGACCTGGTCCAATTAAGTTTAATGTGGGGGAAGGGGTTACGCTCAGCTCCGAAAGGGCACTCTTGCTTTCAGTTTGCAAAATAAGGTATCATCTTACATAAATGAATGAGCACCGCCCTGTTCAATGAATACCTGAGGTATTAGGGCTCTTGTTCCTGGTAGAGACTGCGGTCGGAAAACTATGTTGTTTAGCTATCTGGAGTATCATTTGTAGACACTAAGACTCAGGAAGGGGAAAACAAACTTGACCCAATACCTGGAATCAATAACCACAAGGCTAAGAAAGAAACCTGACAAAGGGCCAATATGAAAAACATTTAAGGGCCCAACAAAAGCCTCGCTACAAAGTACAAGTCAGGTCACTTGTATTGGCCCTTCTGTTCCGGTCACCTGTACTTTGTAGCAAGGTTTTCATTGGGCCATTATATGTTTTTCAACTGTCTTTCTAATAAATAGATGTATTCTTGTAAAGAATAAGTATACACTAGGTTTTCAATAGGACTGCTGTGGCTGAGAGGTTAAGATGCTGAGCTGCGGACCAGAAGGTCTGTAGGTCGGCAGTTCGAGACCCGAGTGCCGCATGACGGAGTGAGCTCCCGTCTCTGGCCCCAGGTCCTGCCAACCTAGCAGTTCGAAAGCAAGGAACTGGCCCTTTGTCAGGCTTGTATAATTCGTAGCTTCAAAGAGGAGTCATCTTAGTTAGAAATTGGCATTTGAACGATACAAGCGTGCTGGAAAGAAAAAGGAGGGCCCTGCCATGTTGGGAACTGACTCAGCAGGTGGGGCCTGGTCAGCACCGGGGGGGGGGGGGGGCGCTGCCTGGGCCCACACGGACTCTGGAGAGGCACGCTGCTGCTGCTGCTGACTCTCTGCTCAGACATCTCCTCTGACGCCTGCACTCCTACCGCTTCCGCTGCCTGCCTGTGCATGCTTCACCAC